TTAACTCCAGCACCAAACCGTTTTGGAAGTCAAACCATTTTGAAAGGTAATAAACTTGGGTAACTTGGGTGTCAAACCGTTTTGGACTTTGAAACTCCAGCAGCAAACTGGTTTGGAGTCAAGACCCTGGTGCGGAAACTTTTTTGACATTTAACTCCAGCACCAAACCGTTTTGGAAGTCAAAAGGAAAAGGAGAACGCAGAATTGAAGGTCAGACATACTTTTCAAAGTACTTCAAAGGTGGTTGAGTACATTTGGGCTTGCAGAATATTTATGTGCTGAGGCAGAAAAGATAAAGGTCGACACAGAAGTTGGGGCTAGAACACTTTTGCAATTATTTCACAGGTCGTTGAGTACCTTTGGACCTTCAAAATGCTTTTTGATTTGAGGAATCGTGTGGATACGCGTATGCGTGATTTATGGAGTCAAATCTTTGGTGACAAAATGTTTTGACTTTTGAACCACAGCACCGAACTTTTGTTTTGAATCAAGAATACGGGTTTAGACATGTTTCAACTCCAGAACAAAACTGTTTTGGACCCAAACAACTTGTGTGTCAAACCGTTTTCGGTTTTGAACCTCCAGCACCAAAGGTGGTTTGGAGTCAAGACTTGGGTGCCAAACTTTTTTGACATTCAACTCCAGCACCAAACCGTTTTGGAAGTCAAACCATTTTGGAGGCAATAAGTTCGGGTGTCACGTTTTGGACTTTGAAACTCCAGCAGCAAACTTTGGTCAACTTATGGCGGGTGGGTCCCGCCTAGATGGTCTCACTATGTTTGACATTTTTATGAAATTCTTGGAAATATTTGTCAGACCCTGGGAGTCCAGACATAATTTGATGCGGATATCTCCAACCACCTCAAAATATTTTGAGGTGGGTGGTACGGAGGGTGGGCCCAGTGGTTGGCATATCCTGCTGGGAGCCCCATGTTGTACTTTCCTTTGGGTGTACCAGTTGGAAAGCCGGTAGTCTGGTAGTGGACAGTGGATAGTGGACAGTGGTGTATCAGCTAGCCGGCATGGCTGGTGACAGCGCCTTGGACCAGGATGGCTCTTTGGATACGGCCTTCGCAGAGGCTAAGGGAGAGGACCCCGTTGACCTCGCCATACGCAGAATCCTCGTTCCGAAGCGGCTTTGACATGATTTGGGGTCATATTCCGCATGTTCCCCACTTGGATTCTCTGGGCCAGCGGAGCTTTTGATACTTCTGGAAGGCTGTCTGCCTGCATCACTCTTGCTGTCATCAACTATGTATGCTGTATGCAGACACAATTCGTTATTATCACCAATTGTCAGTCTATATCTCCCGAAGCCATGGTTGGCAGCACATGGCAGCACCCAACGGCTGTTGAGACACACCCACAGCGAAGGGAACCCCTTCTTCTGGCAAGAGATCTTTGGAACCTCGGGCGGGGAACCGCCCGCTGTGCTCCCTCCGCAGGATCTGGAGAACCTGCGGAAGGCAGCCGCTCACACCTTGCTGCTCGCCGCGGCAGATGGGCGCTTGGAAGAGGTCTGGGGCGGTGGGCTGGGGCTGGGATTGCTGTGAGTGGTGAGTTTATTAAGTTCACAGCGAGGCGGGCATACCATCTCTGAATCTACACTCTTTTCTTGGATGTTCTTGTTACTGATGTGCGACACCTCGCCACTGGTTTATTTGGAGCTTATGTCGGGTCTTTTCATTGAACGGCTCCAGACACCAAAGCCGCGCTGGTTTAGCGCGCTTGCAGCTTTCGAACTCGTCGTTCGATTATTTGGCCTAGAGGTTGGATTGTTCGGGGCGGGGCCCGCGTGGGCGTGGAACATGGGGGCGACTCGGTCCAGGGATGAGGTTCTTTAAGGTTGGGAAAAGGATGGCTTCAGCCCTGATGAGTCCAAAGTGCTCCCTGAGTGGGGCGAAAACAGCGAAAAGGTCGCATCCCTCCGTCTCTGTCTCCACCTTCGGCGTCCGTCTCCGTCTGCGAAGGGACGACCTCGGTCGTCTCGTCTTCCGCGCAGGTCCTGCAAGGCGTGCGTGGTTCTAGTTCGCAGGGGGCAGCCGAGCCGAGCCGAGCAGGATTGGGAGAGCCGAGCCCAGCGAAAGTAGGGGTGCAGACGATGACAGCTCAGTGTCAGTGAGATGTTCGGGGGATGAAAGCCGCTGAATTGAAGTAGCAGACTTGGCCTACGACCTCTTTGCTGTAAAGAGCTTCTAGATGGCAAAGGCACACGGTCTAAGAAGTGGTGTCGAGCCCTGTCATCCCGCCCAGATCCCGATCGATTCGCCCCTGTCATCCCGGTGGAGCCATGCGGGGTAGGACAATTCCGGTGGTGTCCCAAAACTCCATCTTTGGAGTGCTTGCCTTTTTCTCTTCTCTCTCTGGTTCTCAACCATTTCCCTAAGCCTTAAACTTGTTGTTCGATCAGGTGGCCCACCGTCGTGCTACGTCAGGTGGCCCACCGCCTTTGCCTGACAAGGACGCCGGTCGCACTCGTGTTCGCACCAACTGCTTGGGCGTGTTGGTCTGTGGAAGCCGGTCGCAGGGAAGACTTTGACCTGTAGAGTGCCTCGAGATTCTCCAAGGGTCGATGGGAATGGGGTGCAAAACCACCTCTTACTAGATAAGACAATACAGATCTCCTGAGCAGGTGAGTTGGTATGAAACAGTTTGGAAGGCTTTTTGGGTGCCTCATGAAGTTTTGAGGTTCCATGTCTTGGTGATGTCCATTTAGCTCTCCGCGGTGTGCGCTGGTGTGCGCCCCAGTCTCCAGTCAGTCGATGGGAATCGATGGCAAAAAGCACCCCAGTCACAGACGCGGAACGACACAGAGTGTTGCTGAACTTCGGCAAGCAGTAACAGTAACAGTGTTACTGTCGCAGTGAGTGAAGAACCCTCCTGATCTTGATGTTTCGATCCTGAAACCACGGCCGGACTCGTCCACGCACTTCGACTCACGCCGCGATTCGAAGACGCGTCGGCAATCTGGTTCCAGGACAACGCACTGCGGCAGCAGGCGCGGCAACTCCTGACCCAAGCTGCGCAGGACGCCGACCCAGAATAGGAAGGGATGCAAGGACAGGACAGGACGCTCTCTTCCTTGGGTTTCTAAAGCGGACATACCATTTGCTGCAAGGATGGTCAAAATTGAGGATTGAGATGGATTGAGGATAAATTTGCTCCTAGTAGCGTCCTTGCTCCTACTAGCGATGCCAGGAGCCCCTAGTAGCATTCGCTCTTGGTCATAGATTGAGGATCAAATCGTGACTTTGGCGCTTAGGGCCCACTGGGAAGGACATTTCGTCCTGGCATGGCCAGCCGGCCTGCCTGTGCAGGAAGCCATCAAGAGCATCACGGCGATGATGCTTCCGGTCTCTTTCTCCGCAGATCCTGAGGGTTTCTACTGGAGTCCCAGTAAGGTAACAGACCACTCCTGTAGGTGAAATGCTTCTCGAACCCCAGATCACCGGTACACACTCGATCTGTCAACTGGGATGTCATGCAAGCCTGCCCAAGTGGGTTTCACGTTCGTTCATGCTCGTCATAGTAGACATGGAAGGTCTACCAACATCTTGCTGTACATAGATTCAGCAGTGACTTGGGGCCCATCTCGAAGCATTCGGCGGAGTTTCATCATGTAGCCTGATGTATTGGCTGCTTCTCCCAAGTCGAGATGGGGGTTGAGAACCTTGGCTCACCAAGACGATGACTGAGCGACAGCGCTGAAGTTGCCAGCAAATTCACCAAATCACAGGTCAGCCGCCGAGGGCGCAGCAGGAGCCCGCGCATCAGGCAGGGCCCTGAAATCACAGGTGTTCGAAAACTCGGATGTTCAAAGGGAATGGTGGAAGATGTGGAAGGGGCTTACAATGGCTTACAGGCCATTTCTGGGAGCTTTCTGAGACATCGATCCATTTGCATCCATTTGCTGTCAGAGGATTTGATCCGAGATGAACAAAGCCCATGGTCCTAGCCCGGCCTAAATCGGAGGGGTTCCCTCTCCCAGCCCGCGCCTTGTGCGCCCCGCGCCCCTGACACGGCAGACGGCAACGTGAGCGCAAAAAGAGAGGAAGAAGCCCAGGCAGGGTGGGGGAAAGATGTTTGTTGCCATGGATGCGAAAAAGATGCAAACAGTCCTGGACTTTCCTCACATCCAGACTTGAAAACAACTCAGTCTTTCGAAAGAACACAAACATCACCCCATCCCACCCCATCCCGCTGACGAATCCGAGAGTTCAACAAAAGAGCTTGCTAAATCCCAGCTACCGATGGAGGAATCGTTCCTCACATCGAAGACCTCAGAAGCTTTCAATCGTATGTTGTTATTGAACACTTGGTCTCTCGAACGAGAGTCGGTCGATGTCTTTCATGCATGAAGGATATGAAGGATATGGATTCGGATCGTGACAGCGCCCGATTCGAGGAGATTTGCTGAGACTCGATCAGACGGAGTGCCTCCGACGCCCGGCACCCAGAGCGAGCTGTGACGGGGGTGATGGGGCTGGTTGGAGTTGAGGTTGGTGTGGTTATGGCACTGCCCAAAATCCCTACCGGGTGGCAATCCGTAGCTTTGTGACTTGAACTGGTAGGTTCCTGTAGAACCCTGCAGGTGAGGTGAATGACTGAATTAATGACCTGTTAAACCAAGAGACTTGTAGGGGGCATGAGGGGATTGTATGGGCAACTCCTACCGCAAAAAGACATCACTTGGATCCGGATGATCCTAATATTCTACCCATTCGGAATGCTGCAATTGTGCAGAATCCCCCCAAAGCAATCCTCAAAATTTGCTCATCAAGCCGGAAGATCATGAATGGCATATTTACCTACACTGGGGTGGTTTATGCTGGTTTTATTGGGATTCTTAGGGCATACCCTTTCACAACTTGAGTGACACCACTGTAGTTGTTGTGCCGGGACTTTGTGACTTTTGTAAGCCGAGGCCGAGAGCAATGAACATATGAAATTGGGTGATGCTCCTCTTCTTGCAATTGCAGGATGTGTGTCTCAACCCCCCTAGGTTTCGGCTGAGAAAAGGGAAGAGACACTGAAGTGATGCATGCGCTCGCTCATACTCCCAAGCGCGCACCTTTTCTAGAGTGTTTGATCAAGTGGAAACCAAGCTGGTTGACCACCAGGCCCACACTCGACCAGATGTCCAAGTCTTCCTGGGGAGCAGTTCTACTGTTTCCCTCAAATTCCAACAGCAATTCTTGACCTGTAACAACTGGCTACGATTGACCGTTTGCTGTGTTCATTTGGTCACTGCCGCAACATGCGGCTCAACTCTCAAGCCCACGGGGCTTCCTGTTCGCCTTCAAAAGAAAGAGGCGATTCGACGGTTCGCTTCCTTAGGATTCCGTTTGCTACCAGCAGTGGTAGCGGAGCCATGGCAAGCTCCATGGCGGCTGCGACTACATCCGCGGCGGGCGCTGGCTCTGGCCAGGGTAGTTCCTCGCCCACTCACCACGGTGGCCGGGAGCGAGCTCCACCGGCCTTTGACACAGGGGATCCCTCCGCATTCAAGAGGTATGAGAGGGACTTGATGCTGTGGCGCTTTGACACTGAGGTGGCGAAGGAGAAGCATGGAGTGCGGATGATCCGCATGCTGACGGGCGCTGCGCGGGCGGCTGCGGATGAGGTTCCGTTGAAGGAACTGATGAGTGAGGCTGGCTGTGATGCGGCTTTGAGCAAGCTCAAAGAGCACTTTGCACCCGCTCTCCCTAGGGCCTTTGAGAAGGCAGTGTATGCAGATCCCCGTCGACCGAGGGAGACACTGCAGGACTACATCATTAAGTCCGAGGCCGCGTTCAAAGAGCTCCAGGATGAGGGGGTGACTCATACTTGCCGGTCGTCCACGTGGTCACCTGGTCCTCTTGCACCTGGCTCAAGTTAGCCTGTCTGAACAGTATGTAGCTCTTCACGGTGTCGTCTAGGGTCAGCCCTAGACGACAGGGTGAAGGGCTACATACTGTTCAGACAGGCTAACTTGAGCCAGGTGCAAGAGGACCAGGTGACCACGTGGACTGGCCCACGACGAGGGAGAGGTCTACATCCAGGAAGAGCTCTATAACCTCCCGGAGGATGAGGATGAGAACTTCGTCTGGATCAACGAAGGTGATTTGAGTGAGATCTATGAAGAACAAGATCTACAAGATGCACTGGCGACCTACCAGGAAGTGAGACGAGCTCTTCGTGATCAAAAGGTGCAACGCAATACTTGGAAAGGCAAGGGAAAGAGCAAGTCCAAGAGCAAGTTTCCATCTCCCTTCCAACGCCAACAAGAGACACGCAGCAGGAGGATTCGTGTGGATCTTTTGAAGCTGCGCACAAAGTGCGCACGATGTGGACAGGTGGGGCATTGGGCGAAAGAGTGCACACGCACACCTGGTGCTTTTGCGCGAAGCCGCTCCAGTGGAGACAAAGACTCCGTGAAGACTGGATTCTTTGTGGCTGGTGAGAAAGAAGGGGGGGCAAGACTTTTGGTGTGATGAGAATCAGTCGAAGATGCCAATGGTCACTTTGGGAGACTTTGTTCGACGGGAACCCTCAACGCAGTTCTGTGGCATCCAAACTGATTCACATCACGGGGTGGTCGACACGGCGGTTCAATCGGGCTTGTTTGGGGAGAATGCTTTACGTCGGTTGTTGACCAATCTCAAAGAACATCATCTCCATGGGCATTGGACTGGGAAGAGTGCTCAAGCTAGAGGTGTGGGTGGTCAGGCTGAAGTGGCTGGGGTGATTGAGATACCATTGGGTCTTGGCGGTATCTCTGGCATACTGGAGTGCACGGTGGTCAAAGAAGACGTTCCCCTGTTACTCCCCATTCGTTTGCTTCGGGATCTTCATGCAGTGATTGATTTGGGACTCAATCAACTGAAGTTGGAGAACACGCTCATTCCCATGACCACCATGCCGACTGGACACGCCTCGATCGACGTGTTGAATCTTTGGACTCCGGGGGTGGATTCTTCCTTCAGCCGCCCGGCATGCTGGGCAGAATGAGAGCCAGTTCAATTCATCTCCACGTATTTATGTAGCCATGAACTCAGTCCAAGCTCTTGAGACGAAGAGGAGAAAGAAGGAGGAGGACATGGGGGGCCACCGAAAGTGCACAAGCACTGCTGCGCTGGCGGCTGATGGGCAAGAAGATGCTGGATGTGATGCAGCTCTACGAGGACAACGCGCAAGCCGACGCAAAGGAAGCTGCTTGGCTAAGCAGTGGCTCCGCTGCTGGATTGGCGCAGTACTCCTTTACGGAGGGACTGCCTGCAAGCTCGATGGAACCCCAGCATCAACAACCTACACGCCACATTCAGCCAAGCAAGAACACTATGCGCAGCTGATCAAGACGGTGGGCGTCTTTCAGGGACTTCGGAAGTGCGCCAAGAGGCCCAACAAGGCCATGGATCAATGCTCCCATCCACCGAACTCTCTCAGTGGGGCAGGGAACGCGGCGCAGAGAGAAGTGTGGTGCCAGGATTGTCATGCACGATGGAAGGTGGCCACCACGATCCCGAAGACCAAGGAACTTCCCAAGGCAGCAATGGGGTCGTTGAGCCCACCAAGAACGACCCAGACCACACAGGGCTATGCCGAGCGCCTGGGCAAGGGGACTACCACCTGGACACCACCGACTACGCCCATGCCTACATCATTGCCGATGACACCGCCCACTCCGGCGACTCCGGCAACGCCGCTCCCAGCGGGCACCAGGACTATGATCTGCAACTGCAACCTACCGGCGGAGCGCGTGACCGTCAAGAAGTCAGGACCCACTCGTGGGAGGCATTTCTACAAGTGCCAACTGAAGGTGTGCGACTTCTTCCGCTGGGATCCTCAGGAGACCGAGATCTTGCAGCAGTCCATAGCTCAGCAATCAAGTGCAACCAGTCCCGGTCAAGGGAGTTCGTCAACAATGATGGAGGCTCAGCTGGACGTGCTTCGTGCCGAGTTGGCCAAGAAGGACTACGAGATCAGCCAGCGAGAGGACGCTTTGGTGCATGCGCAGGAGGTGGCCAAGTCATGCATGACGGAGGCGGTCCACCAGAATCAGTCCATGCTGCAGGAGCAGGAGGCGATGCATGCGGCCCAGCGCAAGTACTTGGAGGATCAAGTTCTGTGGATGTCAGTGGTCGCAGGAGAGGAACGCATGCAGAAGGCCATGAACGACCCAGCCTTCCACCAGGAGACCGTGGCGCAAGCAATGGAATTCAGGAGGCAGTTGGAGCAGGAGAAGGGGAAGTAGAAGCATCAGCCCGTGCTTCAGGGGAGTGTGAAGCCCTGTGGAGGATCCCCCCTGGAAAACCATGCGCAACACAACCGGGCTGTGCTTCAGCAAATTCGAAACCTGCAGGTGGGAGAGCCTACAGGTATGATCACTGAGCGCTTCTGGTTGAAGGACCTCAGTGGGCAGACTACGTTTCACAAGGGCATTTTGCCAGTGAAGCTCCCGGAAAATGGAAGTCAACTCTTGGTGAACACTATAAGGGAGCTCCCGGAGGACGATATGATGGACGAGGTCGAGAAGACGTTGGCAAAGGGCTGTCGCAAGAGACTGCAGAGAACTATATGAACCAACTCAGTAGCTTCTCAGGACTGAAAGTTGGTGAGGTATATTCCATGCCCCGGGTGAGTGCTGAAGCTCAACGTCTCGGAGGTCCTCCAGGGTGTGCCTTCGACATCAAGAATGGGTTCGACCTGAACAAGGCCTATGATAAGGGAAGATGCTTCAGAGAGCTGGAACAAGCGGATCCTGAACTGCTTCTGGTGTGCCCGCCATGTGGACCTTTCTCCCCACTTCAGGAGTGGAACTATAAGAGGATGGTCAAATGACAAGGCAGCGATCGTCCTTGGAGACGGAGTCAATCACATTGACTATGCGATGAAGTTGTTCGAATGGCAGGTACGCCGAGGGAAGCTAGCCCTCTTTGAGCATCCAAAAGGGAGTAGAGCATGGGGTGAGGAGTCAGTGCAACGCTGCGCTCAACTACCAGGCGTGGAGTATGTGGACGCGGACCAATGTGCTTTCGGCCTGCGAGTTCGGCAGAATGAGGACCTCAACAAGAAGCCAACCCGGTTCATGACGAATGGAGCCAAGCTGAGAGAGGCACTTGGAAGAACGTGCAGTCAAGATCATCCACACCAACCGCTACTGCACGGTCGGGCCAAGAAGGCGGAGGAATATCCCAAGGCTCTCTGCCAAGCAATCGTGAAGGGGGGCGGAGGCTGACTGCAAGAGTCAATTGGTGCTGCTGTCCATGAAGGAACATTGGGCCATGGAAGAAGTAGATGAGGGCATCGACCCAGAGGAGCTGATTGATGGGGTCCAAGAGCGTGAGCAAGCGATGGACCAAGCCCAGGAGGGAGAATTTCAACCAGCCTCCGAAGAAGCCCAGGAGAGAGAAGATGAACCTGGTGATTGAATGTGGAGTATCTCGGAGAGACAAGCAACTCCTGAGGAAGGTGCATATCAACTTGAGGCAGTCTACAAGACTTCCATCGAGCTCTACGGATGGCCCGAGCACGCCCGGAGATCCTGGCGTATGTGAAAAAGGAGTTCCAGTGCGAGCTATGTCAACAACATCAACTCCCCAAGCCTTCCAGGCCAGCGACGATCCCAAAGTCATTCGCACCAAACCGAGTCGTGGGAGTTGACGTGGTGCAAGGAGACTAAGGAGGTGCTGAACGTCGTGGATTGGGGAACCTGCTATCAAGTGCTGGAGCCACTGGAGGATATGACGTCCGAGACCGTTTGGCAGGCCTTCATCAGGAGCTGGATGAGGACGTTTGGAATGCCAGAGATGGTCATTATGGACCATGGACGGGAGTTTGTTGGGAACTTTTCACAACATGCAGCAGAATATGGAGGCTAGGTCAGGACGATTGGAGCTCGTGCCCCATGGCAAAACGGACGTACTGAACGACACGGTGGGCTGGCAAAGGGCACCTTCATCAAGGTTGGAAACCAAGTCGGGATCTCCAGTCAACGCGACTGGAATGAGTGCCTTCGCAGTGTGGAAGCAGCTCACCAGCCCAGAGACAACTTGGACAAAATGTAAGACTACCAGGGTCCTTAGGGAGCGATGATCCCTTTGAGGTCGGGCTCATTCAAGGAAGCGCCAATGAGGAGATGACCAGGACCCTGGAGATTCGTCAAGCCGCTCTTGAGTCATTCATTAGATACACCACTGAGGCCAGTGTGAGAAAGGCGGCCCGAGCGAAATCAAGGGGCTCACACCACTTCAATCCAGGCGAGATCGTGTATGTGTTCCGGAAGCCGCTGCCACGACGAGGAGAAGCACATCCCGGAACTAGGGCATGTTGGTGTGGACCTGGAACTCTCATAATGCTCGAGGGAAGAAACGCCTGGGTTTCAATGCGGGGAGAGCTGTGGAAGTGCGCGCAGGAGCAGCTACGACTGGCATCGTCGGAGGAGGAGCAAGCCATGAACCTCCTCAAAGAAGAATTCGAGGACTTGAGAGAACAGCTCCGACGAGGAGTCCAAGAGAGGATTCAAGGACATTGGTCAGTGGGAGATGCCTGATGAACCTGAAGAGCCTCCCGCACAACGAAGAAGACTGGTTTCTGAACAACCGGAAGTGAACTCCAGTCCCAGTCCAATCGAACGAGAAGAAGGTGGTCCAGGATCCATCCAAGAAGGAGAACCTGAAGAAGAACAAGGAGCTGAGGGGTCACGGCCCGCTTCACCCCACGACAAAGGAGGAGGAAGGGACGAACAGATCCGGGAGGCCACGAACTCAGTGATCCATAATGAAAGGAACTATGCCTGCCGGGAATCAACCGCATGTGTATGAACCAATCCGCCAGAGGATCAGCCAAATGAGATGGAGGCCGTACGAGGATGAAATGTTCATCGACACTGAAGAGCTCGATTACCAGGAGGCGGACGAGCTCTACTACTAGGACACCTGGCATGTGGACTATAAGGCCAAGAAGATAGTGTGCAAACATGCTGGAACTAAACGACAACTTTGTCAGCCCAACCAGCACACTGTCCAGTCCCATTGAACTGCCTCACATCAAAGAGGAAGACAGTTATGACTCGTGATGATGGTTCTCGAGTGGTCAAGAAGGGGGACTGGCGATATCCTCGAACAGTGCCAGAAGAATGCGGACCTCAGAAAGAATGGGTAGGCTACACCGAGTTCTACGTGAAGGGCAAGGTCGACCTCGAGAAAAGCATCAAGGCCTGGATGGTGAAGAAGAGTAGCGACGAGGCGGCTGAGCGAGATATCTCCCCAGAAGAATGGCCGGCGTGGCAAGCATCAGATGGAGCCGAGTGGAGGAAAGTCATGGACACCGGCGCGGTGAGAGTGCTAGATGAGGAGGAGTCCGCGTCCGTGGAAGCAGCTGAAAGAAGCCAATCTGTCATCACGGATTTTGCCATCAAGAATCGTGAGGAGATGGAAACCAGCCAAGCAGCCCGGCAAGGCGGCGTCACGGAAATCCAGGTGGTGCATACGGGGAGACAAAGACCCAGACTTGCTCCAGTTAAACCGCTTTGCTCCTACTGTTACTACGGCAGTGGTGAACCTGGCACTTCAACTGGCGGCGAACCGCAAGTTCAAGACCTACGTGGGAGATCTCCGCACCGCCTTCATGCAGTCAGAGAAGCTTGTGAGAATGGAGGGTCGACTGTTCTGTCGACAGCCAACCAGCGGACTACCGGGTCTGAAGCCCAACCAACTGATTGAGGTGTTGGCAGGAGTTTATGGGCTTGGAGATGCACCAGCTCACTGGAGACGAAGCTTGCGAAAGGTCTTGTTGGAATTGGGATACGAGCAATCGGCCATGGATCCCTGCACCTTCAAGTTCATCGGCGTGAACGATCGTGGAGCCCGAGAACTACAAGGCTTGGTGATAGTGGAGGTCGATGACCTGTTGTGCTTAGGAAATGAGGGTACTAGAACAGCTCAGACAACGGTTCACCTTCGGCAAGCGTTGACCTTCAGCAGCAACCCCAAGGATGCTCGTTCAATGGCCGGAGGCTGAGGGCAACCGCGGAAGGCTATGAGATCGATATGACCAAGTTCGTGAACGAACGACTTCAGCCCATGCCCTTCTAGAATGGAAGGAAGAAAGACGAGCCAGCCACTCAGCAGGAGAAGAATGCCGCTAGAACTGCAGTTGGTGCCTTGACATGGGCTGCCAAGGAGGGACGACCGGACTGTGCATCGGGTGCTTCGTTGATGGCAAGCTGTTTGAATGACCTCAAAGTGCAAGACATTATCGATCTGAACAAGATCATCAACGAAACCAAGAAGTACCCGGACATGTCCGTCAAGATTCAGAGCATCCCAGAAAAGGACATGTGCTTCGGGGTGATCACTGACGCCTCCTACGGGAATACAGAAACATACTCATCGCAAGGTGGGTACGGCGTCCTATGCTACCACAAGGAGCTGGAGAAGAATGGCATTGGGAGAGGCAACCTGATCTACTGGAGATCCGGGAAGATTCACCGTGTGGTGAACTCACCGTTGGCCGCAGAGACTCAAAGGGTCTCCAAGAGTTAGCCTGGAGCATAACGGTCTACAATGAGATGAGCGACCCTGACTTTGACCTGAGGCAGTGGGAAGCCGCAGCCAAGTCTCGACGACTGAGCGCCATAGCCAAAGAAGGCCTGGACGAAACACTCCGCAAGGGCTTGTGTTTGGTGGACGCCAAAAGCTTGTTCGACCACCTGGTGAAGACTACGGTCGGGGCCACGGAAGATAGGAGGACGGCAATTGAGATGCAGCTTGTGAGGCAGAGCATGTTAGAGACCGGAACCACGGTCAAATGGGTCAACCATGAGCGTATGTTGGCCGACTGTCTCACGAAACGATTGGGAAACCGGATTCCGCTCTACGAGTTTTTGAGAACCGGTATCCTCAATTTCAGCAAACCGGTCAACAAAAATTGACTGGAGCCTGTAACAACTGGCTACGATTGACCGTTTGCTGTGTTCATTTGGTCACTGCCGCAACATGCGGCTCAACTCTCAAGCCCACGGGGCTTCCTGTTCGCCTTCAAAAGAAAGAGGCGATTCGACCGTTCGCTTCCTTAGGATTCCGTTTGCTACCAACATGACCAAACAACCCTTGTTTTACGGATGATTGATTCTACACTACAAAACCAGGTCAACCAGTTGAAAAACGCTCAAAAGGAAGGCTTTCAACGCTTGTCGTGTGCGCCTTCGGTTGGCTCCTTGTTTCAGGCCCACGGTCGCTGCAGCTCAAGTGATCTCACTTGGTGCCTTTTTGTGAATAGCTTTCATTCCAATTCGCGTTCTTCCAGAGCAAATGAATGGCTTCGACCAAGCTGATCATGTCAGTTCACAGTTTTGTCACGTTCTCCAGCATTCTTTTGCTAGCAGATGCCCTTCTCCGTGTGGCTTTGTTCCTTTGCGCCCCAAAAGAAAGCCAAACATTTGCCCGCGGTCAGAAGGCTCCTCGTTCTGTCACTTGCAGCTGAACAGGCA